CAACCTCCAGCTCCTGGGCTCAAGCGAGTCTCCTGCCTCAGCCTCCCAAGTAGCTGGGACCATAGGCGCCTGCCACAACACCCAGCTATTTTTTGGTTGCAGCCATCCTTGTTTGGTGGGCCCGAACTGGATTCGAACCCGCCAGCTTAGGTGTATGTGGCTGGTGCCTTAGCCACTTGAGCCACAGGCACCGAGCTGTGGATTGGAAGACTTAATAGACATTTCTCCAAAGAAGATAAAATAGTCACAGGGTTATGACAAGATGAGTCTAGTAGGTTTGTTCTTAAGTTCGATTTGTACATAGTTGGAACAGGTACATTTATCTATTACCTGTAATACTCTGTTTGTAAGTTTGTGTTGTATGTCAGTTGGATGTTTGTAACTTGGGGACTGTGTGTATACAAATCCCCAATAAACACATGAAAAGAAGCTTAACATCATTATCTTTCTGAGAAATGCAAATCAAAATCACAGTGAGATACCACTTCACACTCAGTCCAATGGTTAATATCAAAAAGATAGACAATAACAAGTGTTGGTAAGGATAGAGGGAAATGGGAACCTTCATATATAGTTATCATACAACCCATTAGTTCTACTCAAGAGAATTACAAACATTACGTCCACGTAGAAACTTACATGAGAAGGCCAAGTGCAGTGGTTTACACCTGTAATCCCAGCACTCTGGGAGGCCAAGGTGGGTGGATTGCTTGAGCTCACAGGTTCAAGACCAACCAGAGCCAGAGCGAGACCTTGTCTCTAAAAATAGCTGGGCGTTGTGGCAGGCGCCTGCTACTTAGGAAGGTGAGACAAGAGAATCGCTTGAGCCCAAGAGTTTGAGGTTTCTGTGAGCTATGGTGCCATGGCATTCTACCGAGGGTGACAAAGTAAGACTCTATCTAAAAGGGGGGGGGGGCAGCGCCTGTGGCTCAAGGAGTAGGGCGCTGGCCCCATATTCTGGAGGTGGCAGGTTCAAACCCGATCCCAGCCAAAAACTACCAAAAAAAAAAAAAGTCTTTAAATTGTACACATTAGGGTGGTGCCTATGGCTTAGTGAATAGGGTGTCAGCCCCATATACCAAGGGTGGTGAGTTCAAACCCAGCCCTGGCCAAACAGCAACAACAAAAAATTAAAAATAAATTAGTTAAAAAATTAAAAAAAAAGAAATAAAACACTATGGGTTTATATTTGTTTTGCACATTAAATTTCATATGGCATTTGTTTTTTATTTTTATTTATTTTTGAGACAGAGTCTCATATGTCACCCTTGGTAGAGTGCCATAGTATCACAGCTCACAACAACCTCAAACTCTTGGGCTTAAGTGATTCTCTTGCCTCAGCCTCCCGAGTAACTGGGACTATAGGTGCATGCCACAGTGCCCAGCTATTTTTTTGTTGCAGTTGTCACTGTTGTTTAGCAGGCCTGAGCCAGGCTCCCACCTGCCAGCCTTGGTGTATGTGGCCAGTGCCCTACTCACTGAGCTACAAGTGCCAAGCCTGTCTTTTTATTTTTTATTTTTCAAGCCTGGGTCTCACTTATGTTGCCCAGGCTAGTCTCAAACTCTTGGTCTCAAATCATCCTCTGGCCTCAGCATCCTAAGTAGCTGGGACTGGAGGCATGTGCCCAGCTCAGAAAGCATGTTTTGTTGTTGTTGTTGTTGTTGTTTTTGCAGTTTTTGGCCAGGGCTGGGTTTGAACCCACCATCTCCGGCATATGGGGCTGGTGCCCTATTCCTTTGAGCCGCAGGCGCTGCCCACATAAATCATTTTTTAAGAACCCACTCGCTTGGCTCGGCGCCTGTGGCTCAAGTATGTAAGGCGTCAGCCACATACACCTAAGGTGGCAGGTTTGAATCCAGCCCGGGCCCGCCAAACAACAATGATGGCTGCAACCAAAAAATAGACAGGCATTGTGGTGGGCGCCTGTGGTCCCAGCTACTTGGGAGGCTGAGGCAGGAGACTCACTTGAGCCCAGGAGTTGGAGGTTGCTGTGAGCTGTGATGCCACGACACTCTACCCAGGGGGAGAGCTTGAGGCTCAGTCTCAAAAAAAAAAAGAAACCCACTCACTTAAGCAAAAGTAGTCAGATTAATAGAATGTTTGAGAAAATTCTACACATTTGATTCTACTCAACATATTAATTGGCTCGGTGCCCGTAGCTCAGTGAGTAGGGCGCCTGCCACATATACCTGAGGCTGGCGGGTTTGAGCCTGACCTGGGCCTGCTAAACAAAAATGACAACTGCAACCAAAAAATAGCCGGGTGTCCAGCTACTCTGGAGGCTGAGGCAAGAGAATCTCTTAAGCCCAAGAGTTTGAGGTTGCTGTGAGCTGTGACTTCTCAGCACTCTACTGGGGGTGACATAGTGAGATTCTGTCTCAAAAAAAAAATATATATATATATATACACACACACATATATATATATAGCTTACATGCGAATGATTATATACAAAAACAGTTTATATTTCACATTATCAAAGTTTTCCAGGGATGAAATCATCAATTCCGGGCTCCAAAAGACTATAACGAAATGCCTTATATATTTGGACATGTTAGAGGAAATATTTTTAGACCATTTATGTTAAAACCTCTTTGAGGCTACACAACTTAAACCAGATGCCATGTCCCAAGATGAAAGGGCTCAGAATCACAAAGCACTCATTTGTCTATTGTATGCATTTCAAAGCTAATGTGGGGCACAAAGCAAGTGCTTAATGAGGGTGAGCTGACAGACTGGTTAATCACTGGGGGATTTGGAGTTAAACTAACTAAAATTTGAATCTAGCCTCTATTTGTTACTAGTGCCAATGACCTTGAACACATTGCTTGACCTCTCTTAGCCTCTGCCCCCTTATCTCTATATTGAGGAGGAGAGGGGAGAAGGGAGTGGGGAAGCTGGGGGATAGCAGCATCTACCTCATAGGATTGAAGATGGTTATACGGGCCAGCCCCGAGTAAAGGTCAGTCATAGCTGTCAGTAACGAGCCCCTCCCCCTGCCCGGGTGTTCTCTTCCTTTGCAGACAGAATGGGAAGCTTTGGAGCTGACAGATCACCAGTGGGCACTAGATGATGTCGAAGAGGAACTCATGGCCAAAGACCTCCACTTTGAAGGCATGTTCAAAAAGGAATTACAGACCTCTATTTTTTGAAGACTGAGCAGGGATTAGCTGTGTCAGGAACTTGGAGTAGCGCTTAACCTTGTAACTTTCGTTGGAGCTGGCGCCTCTCAGAATAAAAAGGAGGATGCAAGAGCTGGCGGGTGTGCAGCAAGGCTCGTTCTTGTCTGAGCTGGGCTCCCCTTTATGTATGAAACTAGAGGAAATAGGAGGAGTATGCTCCGTGACTTGCAATTTAAAAAATGTTCTAAATGTTCCTTCTGGTGACTCTAGTGATGAAAGTCAGAGAAAGGGGGAAAACTCAAGCTACTGATAATATATAAAATCTTAGGAAAAATTCAGCCTTTGGAAGAAGCACTATTAATTATAACTAATTATTATGTGCAGTCAGCTTGACATCTAGCCACAGTAAACTCCTATTTTCTTGAAATCTTTACACCCTGTGTTTTATCTTTAATATTTTGTTAGTATTTTTAACTTTCCTTTCAAAAGTAGAACATTTTCACTACCAAAAGTTTAGAAACTATGGATGAGCTAAATGAATCTCCGTGTATTGTTCATTTTGAGCCTATAGAATGACAGAGAGTGAATGTGTCAAACCTTATTCACATAAACTCTTTTCAAAGTGAATCCCCCAGGCCAGGACAGATTTAGCAAACCTGTGTCTCTTAATACTATCCAGTGAAAACCAGTGACCCTGAGGCACTGTGGAGTGCTCAAGTGCCTTTGGGATCATCAAAGATGAGTTAAATAATACAAAGTCTTGATGTGAACATCAGAATATATGAAATCCATTGACAAATCAATGGTGCTATCTGGTAAATGGCAACTTAATTGGACAAAAGGCCTAATTTTCCAGTTACTCTGGATAAAAGAGTTTACATATCAGTGTAACAAGGGAGAAAGGGCAGTTGCTGGCAGACAGATAAGCACCCCAGGGATAATTCTGTCTGGATTAATGGCCCCAGGGAAGTGGCAGGGTGCTTTTCTGTACCTAGAGGTGGATGTAATTTGCATGTTGAGCACTGTAATTAAGAACAAATGACTCTTGTCTTTGCAAATTAAACCATCTTTTCTCTTCCTTTGCCTGTGAAAGTGTTGACTCTATGGGTCACAAACGACCACCTGCCAACTGTCATGAGTATCTATCTTGAACTGTGCCAGGGAATTTAAGATGAAAGAGATGTAACCCTTGTCTTCAAAGAATTCATTAGAGAAAGACCTTTTATTTTTTTTAATTTAATACTGATTTTTTTTTTCAATTAATTGTTTCAGGTTAATTTGAGGGTACAAAGAATTAGATTACAATGTTTTCATCTATTAGGCAGACTCCCTCTTATAATTATGTCCCGCCCCCAAGAGGTGTGCTGTGTACCCTAACATTGTACCCATTAAGTGGGAGCACACCCATCTCCTTCCCTCCTCCCCTCTCCCTACTCTCTCATTCCCCCGCCCCCCATCCTTAATTGATTTGAGTTTTTCTCTAATGTGGGTATTTAGTAGATCGTCCACTGGCTTCATATTAATATTGAACACATTGGATTCTTCTTCATTCTTGTGATATTTTACTAAGAAGAATGAATGTGTTTCAGCTCTATCCAGGTTAATATAAAAGTTGTAAAGAGAAAGACTTTTTCTTTTTGAGGTTATAGAACCTCTTTAAGAATCCGATTGAGGCTC